GCCGTGTGAATTGATGTCTGCTGTTCTGCTGAAAAGTGAAAACAATCGCCGTATTGTTCTCACTTCCTGTAAAATTAATTATGCTGCTCTGTCATATTTCTACCAAATTAATATAAACAGTGTGCTGTAAAACGCTTTATTCTGTTTATACAATATTGGTGGCCCGTAACGTGCTCATAAATGGACTGTGTATGCGTGTAATAATTGATTTTTTTATGTTGGCATGAAAAATAACAGATTGTTAGCTGTGTTGAACGCAGCGTGCTGAAGCTGCGCGCTTCAAGTCAAAACGCTGCATGTTTACGCTGTGTTGAGCTAGTGATGTTTTGAAGCTGAAATTCAGTCATTGAGTCCTTTTAAAGCTGAAATTGTACGTCTGTTATGTGTAACATAAGCTGGCTTTGAGCTGTGGAAACGCTTTATTCTGTTTAAAGACGGTCCAGACGTGGTTCTGGTACCGGCTCGGTTCTGAAAAAGATCGAACGAGTTGTTTAAATAGCTAGAAAGACGTTTTTGAGACCGGGGCGCCGACTCCGTGCTGCTGGGAGCTTATTGATTACATCTTTTAACAGAAAAAAGTGCATTTTGACAGTTTAAAAGACAAAAAGTTGACGGACTTGTTCAGATAAATCTAACATGCTAGCTGGGGAAAACGCTGCGTGATTGGCTGAATTAGCTGCTGTGGAGCGCTCTGATTTGCTGAGAAGTGGATGACGTGCCTACGTCATTTCCTCTCACCCCCGTGCTGCTTTGTCATTGGCGGATTCAGTCACGTGACCCGGAAATGAAAACTCGTTTTCATAGGGAATAAAATCTGCTTTTTAAAGTTCAAAAACGCTTTAAAAGTTAATTCTGATACGATGCTTCGTGTCTTCGAAGCATAATTGTTGAAATTTTGCCACGTTAGAGTTTAAAATCCGTCACTAAATGATGTTTTTGAACAACGCTAGCTATGCTAATTTTAAGCTAACAGCTAACGACCGGGTGAGTGACGTGTCACGTCACTTCCTCCATGTCGGAAATGAGCTCGGTTGCAACCGAGAGCTTTGCTGTGCTTAAAATCACTAATTAAAACTTGCCACATGTCCCTAAAACTCATGTTTCATGCAAAAAAGTCGTGCTTGTTAAAGAAACGCCACGTTTACGCTTCAACCGTTCAGAAATGTTGATTTTAACCGAGTTTAGCCGAAGCTAACTTTAAGCTAAGCGGCTAAAAACAGGATGTCAACCGAACGTCACAGGAAGTCGTCATAGACTCCTGCTGGTAGAAAGCTAAACACTGCCCCCTCCTGGGAAACTTGAGATCACAGTTTCACTTCATCTTTAGGTATTTTAGTGAAATTAAACATTTTGTTTTTTTCTTCTGTAAGGCATTTTTGAGTTAATAAACGTTCCTCAAAGCTGAATAATCACTGTTATCTTGCATTTAAAAAGTAATTAAGGTATTTATGCAAAACAGGCATTTACCAAAAAACTTTATTCACTGGTAATTCCTTATAAAAAGGTACAAAATAAAAGTTAGAAACTTTTTTAAAAAAAGGACAGATACAGAAGTTCACAGAGGTAAAAGTTTACTCATTTGCTAAAAGATAATGCACGTTTAATTGCTAAATCACTAAATAAGAGTGAATATATCAGGAAAAAGAGACTTTTCTGATTTTATTTAACACCTAAACAATTACATCTCCTATTTAATTTTAAATAGGAGGTACTGACAGGAGGACAGGAGTAATAACAGTTTTTCTGAAGAAAGACTGATTAATCCTGACACATCATCAATTTTTCTTTTTCTTTTCACCACTTGGTTCTATGAGTAACTGTTAAATAGCAAATTTCTGGAACAGAACGGTTTAAAAAGTGTCTTTAAACTGATTTGCTGTGAGACTTTTTAGAAAAATTGCAGGTTTATTAAAAATTCAGTGCTTTAGAGTGAAATACACTAAAAGAGCTTGGTAACTAGTATCTGTTAAGAAATAAGCACATAAAAAGTAACACTGCCATAGAGCATTTACTTAAATATTCATGAATTGGGGTAAAACCTACAGAAAGGTACCCACGTTTGAATAAGTGACTTATAACAGTACTTTTGTGTAAACCCAAAGCTAAAATAGTGTGAAACTCATTGACACTTGAATACAAATATTTACCTGTAAAATATCTGAAGCTTGCAACTGTTTTTAA